ACAGACGCTACATATCACAAGGGCCAAGCTGAAACCCCTCCGTACTAAAGCGATTGTTGCCGTGGAGTCGGATTGACGCAAATGAAGGGTTTCAGTTTGCCAGACCTGAGAGTTGCACAGTAGGCTCCGGGCTTCGCGACTTAATGGTCAGAGTCGTGGTTTAATGCAGAACATGTGGTTCTTTGTAAGGTCCAACATAAGCACACTCTGAAAACCTCAAGCCCTGAAGCCATGAGCCCTTCAAAGGCTAAGGCGCATAGCCACAAACCAAGTTCCATTGATTTTAAAACAGGTGAACTCTGAGTGGTGCTTAACCTTAGAAAAGTGGAAGACTGCGGCAATCTGATGCCCAATGGGGAGTGATTTTGGGCAGATGGGAGCTTTTTGTTCGTTCCCCAACTTCTACGTACTCGCTCCGTTCCAATCCAAACTATCTCCAGCATTAAATCCATCGTAGCCTGCCTGCCAACCCCCGTGAGCAATTCATTAAGGCTTGGCATTAGCCGTATGCTGTTTCCTCAGCACATAGACATAAGACCGTTATATGAACCCCCTTCAATCAAAGCTTGTGCAAAACTGGGAACAGTGCGTGCAAAGTCCATCTGGACCACTCATTACATCCTGCATTGTATCCCAGGAGAAGACGCTTATCGCTCACCTGCAGAATCCTCGACACCACCCCACAAAGCAACCAAAAACCCTTTGTGCAGCTGCAAACAGCAGAGACCAAGCTGCCGAGACCCAGACATTGCAAAAAAACAAGTGCTGAGGCGCAAATAAATGCACAAATTGCAAAAGACATTCGCGGAAGCTGCAAACGTGCTTGAAAGGACGCTTATTTGGATGTCGCAAGCGCTTTCCATGACAGGCTTCATGCAAACAGAATCCGTAGGCAAGTCCTAAGTCATTGAAATCATGACACATGTTTTCATTCACAACCCTGGCTGAGCGCCATGGTGCAGAATGCGGCCTAGGGAATAGGGGAGCACGGGCTTGATTCATACGCAAGTACTTGGGACCCTACACAGGCCCAAACTTTATGCCGGGGTGTTGAATTGACGGATTCCTAGTTAGGGGTCCTTGAGACACTGACTAGTCAGGTTTTCAGGTCCGTTATATTTGTCTGGAACTACCAGCTATGGCAGAGAACCCAACGCCCTGCACCCCAGTCGACCACTGAAACCTACATTCCCTTCCGTGCCCACGCAGTCATGCAACTTCACAAAAGAATCCTCGGCCCAATCAGGACTTGTTCGACCGTCCCCAACCCGTAAACTCCAAGCTTCAATCTCACACAGTAAGCTCAGCAGCCCACACCCGAATTCTCGATTGCGCTACCCTAACACACTGAAAGGCCTTCGGATCTAAGACGTTGGTCCTCACTAAAGGCACCGTGGACGTTTTCAACCCCAAGGCCATGCGTCGAATGGATGGCTTGGATTCAGGGTTTCCGATGTATACCAGGCTTAAATTTCAGGACTTTGGTTTCGTTGGTGCAGCTTTTGTGCGCTGTGGGGTAGTGCTTGGGGATGAGGGTTTGGAGTTGCTGGTTTTTGTGGCTTGTGGTTTTACAAGACTAGTAGTAGTAGTAGTAGTAGTAGTAGTAGTTGTAGTTGTAGTAGTAGTAGTAGTAGTAGTAGTAGTAGTACTAGTAGTACTTGTAGTACTAGCAGCACTAGTAGTAGTACCAGTAGTATTAGTAGCACTAGTAGTACTAGTAGTACTAGTAGTAGCAGTAGTAGTAGTAGTAGTAGTAGTAGTAGTAGCAGTGGTAGTAGCAGTGGTGGTAGTGCGAATAAAACTAGTAGTAGTAGTAGTAGTAGTAGTAGTAGTAGTAGCTGCAGTAGCAGCAGCAGCAGCAAAAGCAGTAGCAGTAGTAGCAGGGGTAGCTATCGTTTTCGTCAGAGTTACAGTCATGGTGGTTGTTATCGTTGTCGTTGTCGTTGTCGTTGTTGGTTTTGGGGGTGGTGGCGGTCGTGGTGGTGGTGGTGGTGGTCGTGGTGGTCGTGGTCGTGGTGGTGCTGGTGCTGGTGCTGCTGCTGCTGCTGCTGCTGCTGCTGCTGCTGCTGCTGCTGCTGCTGCTGCTGCTCCTGCCGCCGTTGTGGTGGTGGTTGTTGTTGGCAGCGCGCGAGGTTGCCACTGCAA